AAAAAAAAATTGTTAAACACACATTTTGGATTTTATGGTACTGATATCCTTCTAGTTTTGGACATTTGACCTGCAAGATCATGTAACTTTGAAGTAAAGAAGCACAATTGAGCTTGTATTTTAGACAATGATTAGCTCCCATGTGTTAAATTATATATCAAACTTTATGTATTAGTGAAATAGAAGTAACTCGTATGATGTAATGTAACATGTCTTCTGCTTATTGGGATAAAATATGTTTTTGAATCCAAACTTAAGATGACTTAACAATTAACATTCATTCTCAACTATTAAAAAATAAAATGAAAAAAATTATAAATGTGATTTCTCCTTATACAAATTGATCCGCATGTCTACAAAATAATAACTGCATCTAGGCCGAAGACACCTCTTAAACTCGTTTTTTTTATGCACAACAAATTTATATCATTCCAACATTAGTTTGGGTTCGTATTCGCGTTCCCTGGAGGTTCAAATGTTCGTCTTTCTTGTCTATTTATGAGAGTTTGGGTTGATGAATAAGTTTTTAGTGATTGGTTTTGGTTTTGTGTGTTAGATGCAGTTTCTTTGTAATATGTAATGAATGAAAATGTGGTAAGTAGATTTTCTATGCATGTTGCTGGAGAATTAAATAATGTGATGCAAAGTCATAGCATAAGCACCAGTGGTCTAGTGGTAGAATAGTACCCTGCCACGGTACAGACCCGGGTTCGATTCCCGGCTGGTGCATTTTTTTTTTTTATATCTGTTATCTGTTGGATTTTTTAACGGGCCAGCTTCCAGATCTAATTTTAATATACGCCCACACATTTTGATAGCCCAAATTACAAAGCCCACTACTATATATTCAGCGTCCTCATGTTTTTTTTTTTTTGGGTTTGTCAACTTGGGAGTTTATTTTCGCAACTATGTATGAGAGAGTTCGTAAGAATTTCGCAACTACATATGAGTAGACATGGACACGGGGACCCGATCCCGAACCGGCACAAACTCGGCCTGCTCAGTCATGCAATCAACGGGTCTGGGCCCGTGCCCGGATTCAAACCAGACCTCTTCAAGGTTACGTTGGGTATTTGTAACATTTCACCCGATAGGCTGGGTTGGATCGTTTTGGAAAATCAACGGTCAATTTTTTTTTTTTTCAAATTTTTTAGGACGGGTCCTGAATTTGGGTTGAGTCAGTTTTAGGTAATCCATTTCAATCTCGGAGAACCGCCAGGCCGGAATTTGGGCATGTCTAGACTTATAAACGAGTCGAGCCGAGCTGAGCCCTTAACGAGATGAGTTGGGCTCGACTCATTAAATAAACAAACCTGTAAGCGAGCTCCAGCAGCTTGTTTATCACTATAAGGAGCCGATTTCGAGTTTTAACGAGTCAAACTATAAAAACTTATAGAAAATTCTCTTTTCAAGTCGAGTCGAGTTCAACTCGTTAATCAAACGAGCTTTTAATAGGCTCGAGAAGAGTCAGACTCGTTTAGTTTAACAGCACTAGCCATGTCTATGTGTGAGAGAGTTCGTAAAACTTTTAGAGAGAGAAAAAAAAAAAGATATTTGGTTTAATGGTACCTAGAGATATTATTCGAATCGAGCAGCTTGCGAAATTTGCCCAACTCGACTTGACATGTTTAATATATATATACGAGCTCGTTTAGTAATTGCTTGAAGTCTCATTTATTAAATAAGTCGACCTTGTTCGCAAACACCTAGTTTATTATTACTTTGTATAAGTTTCGAACGAACAATCAAGTCGATTATCTTTGCGATCTCAGCAATTTATTTTCATGAACAACTTTGTTTACGAATTTTAGTTTGTTAAACAAGCAGAGCTCGAAGCAACACAACTAATCTTAATTTTTGTTCCAAACGAGTTGAAGTAACTAATTAATCAAACTATGGCCCAAGTCATTTGAGAATCATTCTCTATCCAGTAGTTTATTCTTCCAAGAGTGATGCAAGAATTATCTTTATACCTCAATTTAAACGTGAAAGTGCTGTATAAAATCAGCAGCACACACGTTTTTTCTAAATATAATAATAATAATAATAATAATAATAATAATAATAATAATAATAATATAATAATAATAATAATAAAACAATAATAATAATAATAATTGTTATTTCAATATCAAGATTTTTTAAACGGGTTGGAATTGTACCAACCCATTTGATATCGAAAGAACATAACTTGTGAACACATACCACGTGATGATACTAATAGGTTCATGTCATGACCTTTTTTCACAATTAGATAAAACCACCGACCAAATACTTAAAAATCATACTATAGGGAAATATTACGACCTCATTCGGTACTATTCCGTCGAGTGTTTTAATTGTTGGATATACATGTAGTTAGTATAAAATAGATAATCCGACGGTTAAAACACCGACGGGATAGTACCACATGACCATAGCATTTCCCCATACTATATACTAGTACAACTCTCGTGTATTACACGAGTGTTTGCTAATTTTTTTCTTAAAATATAAAATTAATGAGAAAAAATAGTTAAAAATTTAAATATCTTTTTAAAAATATATATTATTATATATTTAGTATGCCACTTTTTATTTGTGCGACTTACTTGTGTTATCTTATAATAATTTTTTAACTTACAACATATAACAACATTAAACATAAATATATCGATTGAGAAATAATTTTATTTTTCTAATGAATTTTAATAAATATAATTATTTTTAATTATTATAAATATAAATATAATTTATTTATTTCAATATATACAATATGGATGTTAAATCGAAGATCATCAAAAGATGATTAATTTGGTACATTATATATGTAAAACCGATAAGAAATACAAAAGTTATCAAATTTTAAAATACATTTACAATTCAATAGCTAATTGAAGGAAACAAATCAAAAGTTAGGGATATATTAGTCACTTAGTGTCTCACTATGTAAAATTACAAGGAATTAAAGGATTATATTAGTACAAGTGATATTAAAATACCTAAGTTAACTAAATAATATTTATGGAATGTCCAAACCTAGATTATTAATTATTAATATATCAATATTATTTGTTCAAGCCTAATTACGAAACATGATTCTTCACCAAGTAGGATTCCAAAGCACCAGAAACAGTCACGTAGGCTCAGCGCATTCGGGAATTATATATAGGGAGGATATATACTACTTTTTCAAACGTTTATAATAAGTTATAAATATTTATACAATACATATTTTACTTTATTATTCTTATTTCATACAAACTGACAACCCAACATATACTTAAAAAGCATACTACATACTAAATTTTCAAATGTTTACAAGATGTTATAGATCTTTATAAATATTTTATTTTATTATTTTTAATTCTTTGAATATTGACACTTAAATAGCTTCAATTCGTGAAAGATGGGTCGAGAAAGTAAAATACCACGTGTAAAATAGAAAAATAGAATAAGGTACAATTATTTTTGTACTAATATAATATAGGATGCATATAATATATAATTAATTATTACAATTTTTTTGTACTAAATATAATATAGGATGCATATAATATATAATTAAATATCACAATTTAATTGTATAAACATGTTATTTGTTTTCCAATGCTACGATCCCCGTTACGAAACAATTCCGTCGAGATTTATGATCGTGGGAATTGTTGATAACCCGATAGAATGGTTCCGTAACGGGACGTTAAGAATGAATTACAAGTAATGCCCTCAGCTAGGCGCTTTTTTACCTTAATGTCCCGTACCGACAGTACAATTCTATCTATAGCGACTTATTGTATTCTTGTTTCTGCACATTTTTTCACCACGAATTTTTGATTATTCTCCCCAAAGGAATCAACTTTATCTCTCTCCCCACAAAAAAATGCTTATATATGTAGAAATTTCTTCAGAAAGCTCAGAACTATGTTGGTATTTTGATTTGTAGCAGCCTCCTATGTAAAATGCTCATGGTTTTCAGACAATAGGTTTATTGTTTGCGAGAATATTACGTTGTTCTTGTGAATTTCAAGCACCGTATGTGAGATATGCCTATTTGGTAAGTCAAGATCCTTTCTTTTTCTTTGGAGTGTGTGTGTGTGTGTGTGTGTGTGTGTGTCTGTAAATTTTTCTTCAACCCATTTGTTATATTTTATTAATTACAAGAATTTTCTACTTTGCGCAATTATTAGTGTTGTTTGGTAGCGAATGGGGGGGTATACAATGATGGGGTTCCTTTATTTTCAAGTCAATTTGAGTGCACTTTTTTTTTTTTTTTTTCCTTTTTTTCTCCAATAATTAATATATATCTATTTTGTTATTTCACAATTGTGTGTGTGTGTTCTCCTTTTGCGGTGCTAAAACGTGTTGATTTTCTCACTGTGTGTGGGCGACTCTCCAGGCTTTGAAGGAAGGTAGAGCTTGACTTTGAAGCTGAAAGGGTTCCTATCATCTGTTCTTGGTAAGAGATTGTGTTTTTGGTCTGTAATACAAAAGGATTTGAGGTTGTTGTTGAGATTAATTCTGAAAAAAAAAAAATAATAATAATAATAATAAATTTTGACTAAGATTTGAAAGTGACGAAAAGTTCTCACTTTGCTTCGTCCTAAAGGATTTCTTGATTTTAATTCTTGCAGTTTTCAGACAATCTTGTATTCTGCATATGATGTGAACTTCTTGGGTTCTTCAAATTTTGCTGATGGATATATAAACTGTTTGTGATTTCTGCTTTCAATTTCCCAGCAAACTCTTGATTTAGGGGCCAAAAAAAAAAGAGAGAGAGAGAAAGAAAGAAAGTATATGTAGCAAAGATATTAGAGAGCCCTTTTCATTTTAAGCTCCTCAACAATGGAGGAAGAAGCTACCTCTTGGATTAGAAGAACCAACTTTTCCCACACCGTTTGTCACCGTTTCGACTCCTCAAGACTAAACGCCGCCACTTTCACCGTAACCCCAAGGCAAACGAGCCTTCTCCCCCAGCACGAACCGAGCCCTGCAAGTCCCACAACAAAACAAAATAATGCAGCTGCGCAAACGGGCCAAATCCGTAAAAATCCAACATCAACCCGCCAACGGGCCGTGTCACCTAACCCGGAAATAAAGCTTTCGGACACCTTCAAGGAGGCCCGGTTGAGCCAGAGGCGATTCTCGACCCCCAATCCACGCGGCAAACCGGGCTCGGGCCACCACAAGTCATCTAGGAGCACGAGCCCACTTAAGTACCTGACCTCCATGAAGTTTCATGACAAGCCCAAGAGTCGTAAGGAGTCGTCCGGTTATTGGACCAAGTATTTCGATCACGGTGTTGGCAGGGTCACGTCCGTTGAGACTGTCGATGTGGAGAAAATGGTCGACCTGTCTAAGCTTTTCTTGGGGAACAAGTTTGCTCACGGGGCCCACAGCAGGCTTTATCAAGGTTTCTATATGGACGAGCCGGTGGCCATGAAAATGATTATGGTTCCTAATGATGATGATGATGATGAAAACGGGGCGCTTGGGGCTCGGCTGGAGAAGCAGTTTGTGAGGGAGGTTAGTCTCCTGTCGAGGCTCCGCCATGAGAATATAATAAAGGTAGCAATGTGTTTGTTGTTTATGCTGTCAGTAATCGATTTTGGTTCTTGGATTAACGAGAAGGACTGTTTTTTTTTGGGGAAGAAGCTTAGTTTTACTTCCTGTGGTTGGCAGTTGATTTAGCTAAGGAGTGTGTGACTGTGAGTAGTGAATTAAGTTATAACCTGGTTAGATGAATTACAAAAACCAGAAGGTGACATTTCAGTGAAACTCTAGATGTAACCTTTTATTTTTTCTTTTTTTTTCTCTTCTAGCCAGAAGATAATAGTTAATATACTTCAAGTTTGTGTAAGAACTCTATTGTAGTCAGTCATTTTCATATTTTTATTTCTTCAAATTTCTGCGTAGTTCTCTTACAATGTAAAACATTCCTCGTTCCGTCGTTCGTGTAAAAACTTATTATTATATCACAAAATTGTAGCTTGTGGCTGCTTTTCGGAAACCGGCAGTCTTTTGCATCATAACCGAGTATTTCCCTTTAAATTTCTTTTTTTTCCCTCTCTTCTAGCCAGAAGATAATAAGTAATACACTTCAAGTGTGTGCGAGAACTCTAGTGTAGGCAAGCCATTTCATATTTCCTTTTTTTTTTTGTCAAATCTTCTTGAAATTTATGCGTTAATTTTCTTACAATGTAAAACAGTCCTACTTTGTGTAAAAACTTATTAGTTATATCACAAAATTGTAGCTTGTGGCTGCCTTTCGAAAACCGGCAGTCTTTTGCATCATTACCGAGTATTTGCCCGAGGGCTCCTTAAGGGCATACCTGCACAAGCACAAGGACCCTCTCCCAATGCCCAAGCTAATCTCTTTTGCTCTCGACATTGCTCGGGGAATGGAATACATACATTCCCAAGGAATCATCCATAGGGACTTAAAGCCCGAAAATATCCTTATAACCCAAGATTTTCGCCTCAAAGTTGCCGATTTTGGCATTGCCTGTGAGGAAGCTAACTGTGACCAGCTGGCAGATGATCCGGGCACTTATCGATGGATGGCACCTGAGATGATCAAGCGCAAAAAGTATGGGCGGAAAGTGGATGTGTACGGTTTTGGGCTGATCTTGTGGGAGCTTGTGGCTGGGGCTATACCGTACGAGGAAATGACACCTATACAAGCTGCATTTGCCGTGGTGAACAAGGTACAACGAACCCATTTTTTTTTTTTTT